GCGGCGGGAGGCCAGTCCCCGGGACGCCCCCTCCCACCAGCCAGGGCCGGGCGCTCTGGAGGCCGCAGTGGGGGGCAACGCCAGCGCAGGGGCGCCCCACAGTGCGCCCCGTCAGCCACGCAGCTTGCCGGGTACCAAAGGACACGGCCGGGTCTCGGCACCATCAGAACCTCCACGTCCCTGTCCCGGGGGCCCGCAGGGGTCTGGCCCGCGCCCCGCCCTCCTGCCTGGGGCTGGGACACCCAACACGACGCCCAACGTGACACCCCGCCGCCTCCCCTCCACGGGCCCACGTGGGGCTGGGACACCCTCCGGACGTGACCACCCCCGGCCTCCCTGCCCCCTCGCTCCTCCCCGGGGCTCCCTGGCCGACCCGGAGCCTCAGAGACGCGTCCATCTCCGACAGCCCATGGCCTCTGAGGCGCCGGGGCCCTTCCCACCGTCCATCTCTGCCATGCCCGGGCCCCTCCGTGATGCACCCGCGGGGAGCTGGGAGGCTGCGGACCCCAGGTCTGGCTTGGGGTCTTTCCCCCTCACTACAGCGGCACCTGCGTGGAGGCCGGGTTTGTCCGTCTGTTCACGACTCCGCTGCCCCGATTTGTGAGGTTCGCAGAGGGCACGGAGGGACTGTCGGTGAGTGGGTGGGTGGGCGTCGGTGAGGGGGTGTCACAATTACGGGCAGAGATGGTGCCCAAGTGTTGCCCCCAGTGCAGGGTGCCACCCTGGAGGTGGCGCTGGCACCCGCCAACCTGTCTCTGGCAGGTGGTCCTGACTCCCTTCTGCACAGGTGCTGTTGAGTGAGGGGGCCCCCTCTTCAGTGCCCGGGCCCCTCCGCGGGGGCTGTCTGTGGGTGAGGCCAGACCACGCCTGCCGAGGCACAAGCCGGCCTGCCGCCCCTGCCGGCCCTGCCCGGCCCCGCCCTCCAGCCCGCCCTCCCAGGACCTGGCTCTGTTGGTTCTGCCTCGCTCCTTGGCCTGAAACCTTCCCACCTTCGGAGGGCCCCAGCTTTGGCCTTCTGAGGTCGGGTCCAGTGAGAGCTGCAGCCCTGTCCTTCAGGCAGGCACTGTCACCAGCATGGGGGTAGGGAACATGTCAGGGGTCACTTTGGGATCACTGAGGGGGGTCACCCAGGCAGTCATGGTGGTGTCGTCTGGAGTCGCCTGTTGTATTCTCCCGCATGGGGTGGTGCCGGGTCCCCTAGACCTCTTGGTCTCTGTGGCCCCCGCTTATCTTGTCACACCCGTGGTCACCCCACGTCAGCCTGGCTGCAGCCCCAGGCCCCTCATTGCACGGAAAGCCAGGTCATCCGTCTGCGGGTGTCAGTACACCCGAGTCCTGGAGGGGCCTCCCTCAGCAGTGCCTGCCTGTCCTGCTTGCTCCCTCAAGTCGACAGATTCCAGGGGGTACACCCACACTGCACCCCTTTACCTGCCCAGATGCCAAGGCCCACCTGCCTAGTGTTGCCTGCCACCCTGCCCATGTCTGCACCTGGAGTGAGGCTCCCCACTCCCACGGTGGCCTGCAGCCCGGAGCCGGCCTGTCCTCACCTCCCTCCCTCGGGGTGTGCGCACAGGGCCTGGGCGGCAGAGCCCCGCACCCGGTCCCCTCTGTGGACGGCTACCCCAGGCCCAGCAGCCTCCTGCCGGGGGCAGAGCTGCTCACAGTGCAGAACTTGTGACACTTGCTTCCACTGTGGGCCCTGCAGAGTGGCCGCCAGCCCTGGTGATGACCAGGAGGCCCCCTTGTGCCAGGCCTTCTGCCCTGGACAGGCCATGGTGGCAGCAGAGTCCCTGGACTCTGCCTTGGAACCCGTGTATAGCACCGCCAGGGCAATTACATCGGGGAGTGGGGGGGGGGCTGCTTCTGGAAAAGTCCAGGTCACAGCGTCTGCCACTGGGGGGCGCTCGCGGGCTTTAGCCGCAGCTCCTCTGCAAGCCTGAGCCACGGATTGCCCAGGGCCCTGAGGGGCCGGGCCTGGGGCTTGGTCCACCTGCTGCCCAAAGGTCCTCCCGCCAACCCCTCCCAGCTGCGCGCCCCTACACCAAGCGGCCAGGTTTGGCCAGGCTGTGCGGCCTCCAAGCCCAACAGCCTAGACCCGCTGTCCTGCAGGTCAGGGCCCTCGGGTTTCACTTGCCTGAGGGGCTCCTGGGAACTTGCCGTGGGGCAGAGGGGAGGGGGACGCTGGACCTCGTTGCACGTCTCAGCGGCCTGGTGACCACACGCACCAGCCCCTGCACTTACACCAGACCGTCTGCCCTTCGGTCTGATGTGGCTGCCACCAGCCTGTGTTTTCCTGCACTGGGGGCCGCGTGAAGTCCAAATCTCTGGTTTGGACGGTGGCTGCTCCGGCAATGGGACTCCTTGGCCAGAAGTTCCTTTCAGAAAATCAGATGAGAAAAAGGCAGTCTCCTGGCCCCTCGCAGCCCGATCTCCTCCAGCTTGGCTCCAGCAGGGAGGGGCCCACGTGAGATCAGTGCTCCATGAAAAGCACACGAGCTGCAACACCGCTGGGATCGGCCCTCTGTGGCAGCACCAGTGGCCTGGAGCTGGTGGCCCGTAGAGCCTGCAAGCGGTGTGAGCAGCAGACAGCGCGGGCTCGGCCTCCCTCCCCGGGGCCTGCCCTCCTCCGCCGTCTCTCTTCCTCGTCTCCTCTGGGGAAGACGCTGTTCGCCGTGGCCAGCGTGGGAGGTAGAGTAACCCCCCACTGATCTGCCAGCACCCCAGTGCGGCGTCTGCGATCCCCTCGCATGCAGGGGCCCGGCGTCCTGACCAGAGGAGCGTCCTCCAGGAGGGCCTTCTCCGGCTACCTGGGCCTGTGACCAACGGGACCCTGAGTCCTGACAGGACAGAAGAGGGGGCAAGAGAGCTGGGGAGAGGCGCTGCTGGCCGGACCCATGGGCAGCCAAGGAGCGGGCTGACCCTGCGCTGAAGTGCGGCTGGTTCTAGCGCGAGACCCCCCAGCCCTCGCCCTCCGGCCTGTGTGACGCCCTCGGAGAGGGGCCGGCCAGTGGCGGCTGCTGGGACGGGAGCAGCCAGCACAGCCAGCGCCGGGAGCAGCTGGGCTGCGAGGCCCCCAGGCGCCCCAGGCCCGCCGGGAGCAGGCACAGCAAACTGAGCGGGCAGCTCGGCCTGTGCCTGTTTTCTTGTAGTTTTCTGGAAATGTCGCGTTAAGTTTGCCCCTTCACTTTGGCTTGTTCAGGTCATTATTCCTTCACTGGACACCCAGGGTTCTCCCGGCATCTGTGACCCTCATGACACGCTCCGCTGACCCCCGGGGCGCCCGTCGGCACTGCTCTTGGAGAGTGCTGGCTGGAAGTGGGCTCAGGACGCTGGTGTTGCTCAGCGTGGTCAGGCCCCGGACCCCGAGGTTGGCAAGGGTGCCTGCACTTTTCCGGAGCACGCCTTGCCATCCCCCGGCCGACGCCGCCTTTTACTTGCGTTTGTGTGTTGCAGACGGCCCCTGGGGCTCCGCGTGGCTGGCGGCCAGGCTGTCTGCCGTGGCTTGCGCACCTTCGGCCAGCGCGCTGACCATGGCGTCCCACCTCCGTCAGCCAGTCCTGGGCCTCAGGTATCCGCCCCGAGCCACCGTCAGGCCTGCTGCTGTCCAGCTGCTCTAGGCCCTAGGGCCCGGCCCCTGCCCTGTCCTGCCCGATGTGACAATCTCTCCGGCTCGCTGCTACTGTCGTCATCGCGGTCTGCCCACAGGATTATCATGTTTTGCTTTTTAAAGGGCCAAATTTCGGCTCCATTGCGTTCCTCCGCGTTGACTGCAAACCCACTGGTGTTTCTCATCTCGATCGCTGTCACTGACTTCCTTCAGCTGCATTTGTTTTCCGAGTTCCCTCAGCGTTTAAGCAGGTTGTGATTGTTTTCTTTGCTCCCCTTCTCTAACAGGCATGTTGGGGTTACAAATCGCCCTACAAGCACCGACTGAACTGCATTCCAACGTTTTGACAGTCCGGTTTTCATTTTGTTGAGTTAAAGGCACTCTCAGCTTCTGCTGCAATGCCCTTGCGACGCATTACTCAGGACCGTCCTGTTCAAGTGTCCGTGGATCTCCTGAACTTGATGCTGTCATTTGTCCCCACTGTGGCCAGAGAACATACTTGGCGGGGTTGAAACTTCCCAGGGCGTGTACGCTGGCCTGTCACAGGACGAGCCACTGGCACGAGCCACCGGACGTGACCTGTCCGGCCGCTGGCCGCAGTGTTCTGGGCGTGACCGACGGGTCGGGCTGTGACGGCCCTTCAAGTCCTCGCGGTCTCGCCGACTTCCGCAGTTGGAGGAGTCTTACGCCGAGCTGTCCTTGTCTCCCCCCGAGCCTGGCGCTCCGTCCCGTGCACCTTTCCCCAGTGCAGCGTCGCCCTGACTTGCCCGTGGTGTGAAGTGCCCCCTCGCCCACAGAAGGGCCTCGCCGCAGAGACGCTGGTCTGGTGCCCGTGGCTGACCCAGCTCCCCCGGCTGCGGTCCGCCTTCCCTCCTCCGCGCAGTCCTGTGTCCTCAGCCGACCGGTGTCTTTAATGCAAAGTGGCTCTAGCCTCGGTCTCCCTTTCCTTGTTTTCGGTCCTTCCTGCTAACCTCTGGTTCGCCTTCCTTGGCCTCATCGTCTGCACTCAAACGATGCCTTGTGTGGCAGGACCTACATTTGCCCGCCCCCCTCAGTGTCCTGCCCCTCCGGCTTCTACGCTATCGCCTCTTTCATATTTCGAGGTATTTGCTGGTATGCTTAGTTCTTTTCCTTTAGTGTATTTTGGAGTAGTTTTTTTTTTAAGATGTACTTATTTATGCACACAGAACTGGGGTACAAGCCAGAGGTGCAGGGGCGGTGAGAGGCTTCACCAGACAGAGCGGGGAGCAGAACAGGCAGATGGATGAAGTGCGCTGCTGAGGGGAGCAGCGGGCGGGTCCGGAGAGGTCTGCCGCCCATGTGGTCACCTCCGGGCCAGGGATCCAACTGGCACTGAAGCAGCTGCAGCCAGCATGTAGTGCTGCGCCCTTACCCACTGTGCCACCAGGGGAGCCCATGGAGTAGTTTTCTTATTGGTTGCCCTGGTAACTAAAGCTAGAATTTTATATCAAAACAATCTACTGTTGGGCCCTCCCTGGCGGCACAATGGGTAAGGACACAGCCCTGCCAGCTGCCACAGCTGCTTCAGTGAGAGTTCGATCCCCGCCCCACGTGACCACATGGCGCGGCAGACCTCCCCCGCCGCCCCCGCCGCTCCCCTCAGCAGTGGCTTCATCAGTCGGCCTGTTCTGCTCCCCACTGTCTCTGGTGAATCCTCTCACCGCCCCTGCACTTCTGGCCTGTACCCCAGTTCTGTATGCAGAAATAAATCTTTAAAAAAAACCTACTTTAGGCAAACGCTAGTTTGATTTCAATAGTATGTAGCATCTTTGTTCTATGTAATTCCCTCCCCCCTCATTTGGGTTATTGTTTGGCATTGTGTTACTGTATTACATTTTTAATATGTTAATTGCCAATAAATGCATTTTTATAATTGTTGAATTATGGTGCTATCTTTTAAATTAGGAGAAGAAAATACACCAGATACTGCTATTTACCTCTGGGATTGCCTTGACAGTTCTCACCAATTCTTCATGTGGATTTCAGTTACTGTGGAGGGGCCTTTCTTTTTTAGACAGAGACAGTGTTTGTTGGGCCTAGTAACAAACCCTTCCATTTAAAAATATAGGAATGGATGAATTCTTCATTTTTAAAGGTCACTCAAAATACTCTTATGGGTTGCTGTATACTGATTTCGCGGTCAACCAGCTTGCTCTTCCGACAACTAGAATGTCGGCCCACTCCCTCCTCATCTCCTTGGGTGCTAAGCCAGCTGCTGGCCTGAGCGTTCATTTTGCCCCATGAGTCATTTTAACCTTGTTGCTGTTTTTATTTTCAGTTTTGACCATCTGCCTGTGATGGGTCCACTCATGGGTTCTTGGAGTTCACTGTACTTAGAATTCATTGAATTTCTATTATGTGCATAAGTTTTTTTCATGAAATTTGGGAAGTTTTTCATCGTCTTCTCTAATCTTTCTTTCTTTGGGGTGCCCCATCATGTGCCTGATGGCACCTCCCAGATCTCTGATGCAATCTTAATCCTTAATCCCTCCCTTACCTTCCAGTGCCTCCAACTGATGGTCCCCGGGGACCCATCTTCAAGTCCGCTGACTCTTCTCCTGGAGACCTCCACTGAATCGCTCACTGTCGGTATTAGACTTTCATATCTCTATATACAGAGTCTACCTCCATAGATATTTGCTGTGTGATAAGACATAGTTGATACTTTCTCTGAATTCGTGAAACAAGATTTCCTGTAGGTATCTGCACTTGTTTGTATTAACTGCTTTCGTGTTTGGTCTAGAAGTCTGCCCCAGCCTGAGGACAGCTGCCACTGGCGCCCGCTTTCTGAGTGGGTCACACTTCTTTCTGTGGATCCATCATTCCACCGACAAACTGGCATTTTGGGTAATGCAGTATGACAACTCAGGACCCCAGGGTTTGCCATTTGTCTTTCTAAATCATTGTGGGTTCAATCTAACTGGAAGTCTATGATTCTTCAGCTTTTCTTTTTTTTTTTTTTTAAAGATTTATTTGTACATACAGAACTGGGGTACAGGCCAGAGGCTCAGGGGCAGTGAGAGGCTTCACCAGAGACAGAGCAGGGAGCAGAACAGGCAGATCAACGAAGTCCACTGCTGAGGGGAGCAGCAGGCGGGTCAGGAGAGGTCTGCCGCGCCATGTGGTCTCCTCCGGGGCAGGCAGGAATTGAACTGATGCGAAAGTGGCTTTAGCTTCTCAGGGCTGTGCTTTAACCGCTGCGCCACCAGGGAAGGGCCACTTCAGCTTTTAAGTATCTTTTTCCAGTAAGTATTTTACAGATGAGATCTGCGTGGGGGGGGGACACTCCTTCAAAGATCAGATCCTTCAAAGCTATCTAGGCCTCTACTTCCTGCTTTCACAGCATCGCAAGGTCACCTGTACAGGCACAGGTCACACCGTGAACAGGGCCTTCTGGATCGTTGTGGACCCCTGGACATTGTACTTGTCAGCTCTTTATCAGAATTTGGCTGAGCTCGTATGGCCCAATAATGGGCAATAAGCTGTGAGCAGATGCATCAAACCAGGTCCAATGACTTTTCAAGGATTCCCTGAGAGCAGAGATGAGCTCAGGCTCGACCAAGCAGACCAGGGTGAGTTGTGGAGGTGCAGTAGAGATGGGGCTCCCGGTTCTCCAGGCTCCACACCAGAGAGGAGCCAAGGCGCAAGGCAGAGGAGGCCCACCTGGACACCACCGCCCTGCTTTTCCTAACAAGCTTCAGTGAATCATAACCTTTGGTTAATTTCTAGAATTCTCCAAAGACTTGTTTTGATATTTTCCCCAGTGTTTGTTACTTTCATGGTGTATGGGAGCTCAAGGAGCCCCCTCTCTGCTGCCCTCCCCTGGAGGCACCTCTGTCTCACTGCCCATTGGTGCCACTGGATATTCCACGAGGTGATATTTTTATTTCAAGTTGCTTCATTTGGCTGAATTCCTCCCTCACAAACCTGTAGCACTCAGGCTAGAGTAGGTGTGTCAGGAAGCCCCAAATGACCCTGTAAAAAGTCTTTTTTTTTTTTAAGATTTATGTATTTGTGCATACAGAACTGGGGTACAGGCCAGAGGCTAAGGGGCGGTGAGAGGCTTCACCAGGGACAGAGTGGGGGGCAGAACAGGCAGATCGACGAAGTCCACTGCTGAGGGAGCAGCGGGCGGTCAGGAGAGGTCTGCCGCACCATGTGGTCACCTCCGGGGCAGGCGGGGATCGAACTCATTCGGAAGTGGCTTTAGCTTTTTAGTGCTGTGCTGTAACCCCCTGCGCCACCAGGGAGGGCCAAAAGTGTCCTTTTTTAAAGAAAAATTTCTCTATTTATGCATATCCGAACTGGGGTACAGTCCAGAGATGCAAGAGATGAGAGGATTCACCAGAGACAGAGTGGGGAGCAGGACAGGCAGATTGAAGACTGACTGAAATACACTGCTGAGGAGGGCAGTGAGGAGACAGGAGGGGTTTGCTGCACCCTGTGAATCACCTCTGGGGTGGGGATCGAACTCAGGTTGCAGTGGCTGCAGACAGCTTCTTTGTGCCGCGCTTTAACCCACTGCACCACCAGGGAGGGCTCACAGCGCATTATTTTCAAAATATTACTGACATGAACTGTGTGGGCCCAGCCTCTGCCCACCGCTGCTGCCCATCCTGGCAATCGCCACTCGGCCTATTTCATTTCTCCACTGTCCAGTGAGCACAGAATCACACGTGCTTGTCACACACGCCCCCCCACTTGGCCCCAGCACGCCCAGGTCCCTCGGCACCACAGCGTCCCTACGTCTGTCCCTGCCTTCTCCCGTGCGTCTGGCTGCTGATGGCTTCCATGGCTGCCAAGTCGCAGCCATTGCAGATACGCTGCAGGAAACATGGGGTGCTGGCACCCCACAGGCTCGAGTTCCTGTTCATCACATCAACACCCAACAATGGTGGGTGCTCTGGGGTCTGGCCACTCGCCATTCAGACAAGTTAGTC